AACTGATGATAGTTGTGTTTTCATATATTATTACAATACTGTTACAGTAATATTACATACTGCTTGATACAGTATAATCTGCCTGTACTGTGAGTGTTTTCCCAGAATTTAACACAACATGCTGTAGAAAACTGCAAAACACATTTAAAGTGTCACGCTGGTCTGAACACAGTATAATATTGTAGAAATTACAGAAACCATTACAGTGTGTTTCACCCAGAATGTGTTATTTTTTTGCAACAATCTGTTATATTTAAGAAACACATATTTTTTTACTGTTTCTGTTGTAAATTTACATCACTTCTTTACAGTGGAGACTTGATGTGTAATGGTACTGAATTCCATTTATGTAGTGCCTTAAAAAATGTTGGTTGGTTAAAAGTAGCCTTACACTCCAGACTGTCACTGCAGTGGTGCCCTCAAGGGTACTTTTAGATAAGGTAAATTATTGTACCATATCCTATTGAAATGATAGATTTTTAAGTTGTATTGAGTCCACACACCATGTCTTGTCTTCAGATTGTTCTCAGATCATTAGGTTATGAGAAGAGTGCCTTACTTATTCGAACTTAAACCACTTGCTTTTAATTGTGTACTTTCGGTAAACTTTTATAATGAGTATCAGAACACATTGGGAAACTAGCAAATCTGCCATATCCACATTACTAGCATAGTAAATGGCTTTACGTGAGAAACTAAAAGCTAAATGATATCTTTATTTAAATGGAGGCTGCCAGGCCTACATCAGCTGCAGACACTTTACCTGTAATATTATAAGTGTCTGCAGGAGGGAAAAAAAACATGAGCACAGAAGCTTGCTAGACGCTGATATTAAGTATTCTGAGGCAGGCTCTGCACGCTGGATATCTGTAACTGAGTGAAGATATAGATCTGCACACAACTGGACAGCAAGCATGGAGCTGACCAAGACTCGCAATAGCCGCCCCATGCAGCACCACACACTTTTATGTTACTGTGATGCCCAACGGGTGTGTTTTCACCATAGAGGGAGTCAACAGTATTTTGGACTTCTTTGATATCTTCTCTTCCCAAGTAATACCAATTTCTCTCTATATTTAGTTCATGTTCACAGTACTTTTGGCTGCAGTTTACTGTGTTAATCTTTTTTTTTTCTCTGCAAGTGCTAGTTGGCTTTAAGAGTTGAGGAACAACAGGACCCTCCAATACAGCCGAAATGTTTCATATTCATAGGAATTTCTAAAGTTTATCTGTGAAAAGGGGATGGATAAGATGAATGGAATTGGAACATTTAAAGACACTTTGCTCGTATTTCAGCTTATGCATCAGGAACAGGTTTATGTTGGGTATATTTTATACAAAATAAAGGCATCATATTCTGTGCTAATGGCTACATCACAAGATAATAAAAAAGGTTACGATTAAACTCCTTTAGGAATGTACGTTGTCACTCTACTGTTCAAGAGTTTGGACTCACTTGTCATACTAATAATGGCTGTTTTTTTAATAATAACATTGTATATTGAAATACTGTAAGCTAGACACCAGAAGATATTTTCAACTTATTTTATTCAATATTCTAAATCTTTCATTCACAAGAAGGTATTCAATGATAAATAATATACTTTAAATATCTTATAGTCATTTCTTGATAAGTTTCTGCCTTTGATCATTACTTTTGAAAGATGAGGAATTCTAATTATTAATTTTAATATAACATCATGGAATCTTCTAAAGCTCTTCTAAAGCTCTGTTCATAATTTTAGACATCTAAATTATGTCCGTGGTTTTTATTACTAATTAGTTAAAACCTATGAAGTTGTAGAGTAGAAACATGAGGAACAAGAGTTTAAATTCAGACTAACTGCTGCTGCATTGTAGATTTTAGCAAAGATTTATAATGGTGTGCTGTACAACAACGTCTTTATCTCATTAAAATCAGCCGTTAGAGTAGTTGGTAAGCATGCATGTCTTCATTGGTCACAGTGAAAAGCATCAGCACATGGAACTGGAGCTGTCTGAGTTGTACCGTGCTTTCTATCAATGTATAAAAGAAGCAGGATGCTGCCTTTATTGTTGGATGCACTTCAATAGTTTCTACGCAAACTTGCACATCAGGAGTGAATCCAAGGGAGGGGCCACAGGGGCACTAACCCTGCTATAGATATGTTTGGCCCCTTAAGTGACCCTCTCTTTTTACCCCACGTCTCCAAGCACGTCATTAATTAATATACATGCATAATTGCCGCCTTACTGTTGTTTGAGACCAAGAGAAGCAGCTACAACTCTTATCTGAAATTGATGCACCTTGGCCACTGACTGAGTAACTAAAACTACCTTTCATGTCATGCTAATAACATGTCTCTGTAAACTTATTCATAAGAGCTTTGTGATATTGTATTGTTTTCTCGTTTGGTTCCGCTGGTTTCACACCACAGCTGCTAAAGTGGACCAGATTACACAAGGCGATGTTTGTTTGTGGGTCAACAATTTTGGAGGGATGTAATCACTCTGTCATTGTCACATTTACCACCATGAAAATGTAAAAATAGAAATAGAAAATATAATAAACCATATGTTATGTCTGCTTCTTTACGATCGGTTTACCTATTTGAATTTAACCAATCAGGTTGCTGTGATTCAGGTGACAAAATTAAAATCGTATCTTTGCTATTATTTCTATTGCCTGTCTGCCGTTGTTATCAGCAGCTCATGCTGCAGGAACTGACTCTGTAAATAGGAAAATGTTACAACAGGCAGATAATGTGGACAGTACATCACTGATGTGCATTGAGAAAAGATTCTGGTGCTTAAATGTCTTGTTTGGTGTGGACCGTCGTAAAAATGTGTTCCCACTATCAGCAAAGTCAAACAATTTTGATTGTTTGAATGCTGATTGGTGAGTTTGACTGTCTCTCTGTTCGTGTTGGTCAGTGCTCTGTAAAGTTTAATTTCTTTCTAATGTAAGCGTTCTGAGCTCATAGCAGCAGCCAGAAAGTGGGGGGTCGTCACCCCAGTACTTTGAAAAGTGGTGAGTCAAAGGTCTGCTTGCTCCAGTGGTTCCGTCAGCTCTGCTTGGCTCCCTTTTTTATTCTCAGAGAGCACTAGAATGCTTAATTATCATGTTAAAATCAACAAAACTTTCTCCTGGGGGGCCAAGCTTCTGGACCACGCTTCAGGAAATTTCTGAATTTGTCATGTTATGGATACATTCAAAGTTTGCATGTCTGAATGTGGTAGTTGTGAAATTATTAGTGTCATGATTAGATAGTTTATGTCTGCAGCTAAATGTGAAGGCATTTATTTGGCCCCTGGACAGGATTGGTGGCCCCATTATGGCCCCGCCTAAAAAATCTTAGAATTGCTACTGGTGCACACACAATCAGAATGCACTTCATATTGCAATGAAAACCTTTATTATTGATGTGTTGATTCCTATTCATGTATTTGCCTGATCAAAATGTACTCATTTTTAGCTTTTGCTAGATAATGTGCTTTACACATTAGAATAAATGCAACAACAGCGTTGAGAGATGACGTTGTGAAAGCAGAGGAGTAGATAAAAGGCAGCTCTTTTGCTTTAAAGGCAAAACAAGAGCATTAAAGGTTTAGGCAGATGGATAATGCAGTGTATTTTTGGTCAAAAAAATCTTGGCTTAGCCACCGAGATGTAAAACGCAAAAACAATAAATACGGAAACTGCTTAGGGTTTTGTTTTTGTTTTTTATCTTCATTTCTAGATGAATGGTAATGCACAAAACAGTCACAAACATTTTCAGTGAAGAGCATTTGAGAGCGTCTGCTCTCGCTACTTGGAACAAAGGAAGGCAAATCAGAGCCATTGAACCAGTTGTCAGACTTTTCAGTTTTGTGTAAAACGAAGAAATCAATAGGCCGCTAAAACGTTGTAGTCAAGCCGGTTGAAGGAACAATCACCAAGACGTTCTGTCACGTTAGGATTGTGTTTATATAGAGCGTGAGTGGTGCTTTTCGCCTCCTGCTAAGTCTTGTGTAAAAAGCGTCTTTACTTTTTGACAGGATAATTTAAAGGGCTGTGGTTTGGACTTCTCGTTGAAGCCACGCCAAGCGACTCGCTTCTAAACAGTTTGACATCTTACACCGATTGCCTTTTAGGTGCGTCTGGGGTCCATAGCTGGCTCCCTCAAAAATGGCCGCTGATGGCTCAACTGGTGTGACCTTGTGCTGGTGTTTTTTCTTGTAGCGTTAATGGATGCTGTGTGTGTGTCTTTGTCTGTATGTCTTTGATCCCATTGTCATACACAGTTTCTAGTGTGATCAGTTAGACACATTTCTATAGGCTTAAGAGCACTTTTAGAAACGGAAGCGTAGTTATTGTTGTGCTTAGAGCATACCAGATTGAATCGAGTGACACTAAAGTACCTTAAGAAGCTCTTCATAAAGTTATATTATAAAATCCCTGGTGATGGGGTGATGTGTCGATGATTTTTGGCTTTGCCCCTCAGCGCTCCACTTTGCTTCGTTCTTCCGAGAACACTGCTCCACCTGCTAAGGTTACGGCTGCAAAAAGGAAGGAATATGAGTGATAATAATGTCTCTTTAATTGCCCAGTTGAGAGAATGTGAGGATGCTGATAATGGGCCTGTCCTAATTAAGCTTTATTTTTTTCCTCCCTCCTCCCTCTTCCTCCTTCAAGCAATCTCTCCTCAAACCCAATTTTCTTTCAACTCACACATCAAATGCGTGTGTTAGCTGCTCTGTCTCAAGGCTTTGTTCTTCTCCATGCAGCATCCATGGCTGAACCTCTGCAGCTGGTTTTGATTTAAACAAATTTATTAAATTACCATGTTATTGCTCTTAATGTATGTCTTAATGTTTAGCCTTTGTACGTCTCATGCTAGCCCCCATTTCTTACCCCCCTCCCCCACAATGATTCCTCTCTCAGAACATAGAGTAGCATACAACTGTTTGGGGTTACATGAGTACCAGCATCATCTTCCCAGCATATTAACCTGTGGTTTCACTGTTTGTTCTTTTTCCAGGTCATCAAGCTGGCCTTCGAAGAGTTTGATCTTGAGAGAGCTTATGACACCCTAACTGTGGGTGATGGAGGGAAGATCGGTGACACCAGAAGAGTGCTCTACGTGTGAGTGTTCAGAGAGCTTTCTTAGATATAAGCCACAAATACCAACATTCACTAATGTTCAGAAATCAGCTCAGCTCTTACATATTCATAAACTACCTTTTTACAACAAAAACTACCTGCATCTTACACTTAACATGTAACATTAGGGTGAAATTCAGTGCAAGTTTGTTTGCACTTACCGACGTTTTATTCCAAATAGTCTTAGAATTATGAGATGCAGTCATAAGTAAAAGTTTAGTTGCCCCGTATCACATTATAGGTTTTGTTGATTATCTCTCAATAGGAACAAACTTATATATGCCATTTTTATACAAATTTATACATAATTTATTTACTTCTAAGTTTAACATATTAGAAAAAAATCTAACAAATTTAAACTGTGCCATAACCTTTGCACAGGCCACATTTTTCCCAGTATGTTAAATGTAGTAAATAAACAGTAATTGTGCATTAAAATGTGCCGAAGTGTGTTCTCTGTAGAGGATGTGCTAACTTATTTTCACTTAGAAAAATCAACAAAACCTTATTTGACCAGAGGCGGTCAAATATTTGCATACATCTGTATTTTACTATGTTATTTTTCACCTTAATAACTAGAACCTATTAAGCATTTCAGTGTATTTAAGTAAGACTGTCTGGTTACTTACTAACTCATGTTACTCAGAATAATTACCCAGTACTTTGGAGTTTGTTTCTCTTGGTTAATACATATGGAACTGTAATTAGCCAAATTTCTTCTCCTAGTATGGATTGAAAATGATCCAAAGTGTTTCAATGTCTGCCCAGCAGGAAATAACATCAAATTATACCATGATTTTGTTATTGTGTACAATAACTACAACATCAGAGGGTTAAAAGCAAATAATTTTCTCTCAAATACAACTGCATACAAAACCAAAGCTAGATTACTCACTGAATATTAAAGAGTGCAGTATCCTTGTTACATGTGCGTATCTAAATCATGGTGTGGATCCATTTTTGTGTGTGCATTGCAGTCTGACAGGCTCCAGTGTGCCTGATTTGATTGTGAGTATGAGCAACCAGATGTGGCTGCATCTCCAGTCTGATGACACCATCGGCTCTCAAGGCTTCAAGGCCATATATGAAGGTGAGTCGCAGTCATCTTCTGAAAAGAAGACAGCCTTTCATGTGTTCCTTCTTCAGTATCTTAACATCAGTATTCAGTAATAAGAATAAAGATTCATAATCTTTATTATGCTCTACGGCTCTCACAATAACTCGATTAACCTTGATGGCCCAATAAAAAAATGTGTGTAATTTTTCATGAAAGTATGTAATTAAATATAATAAATATAATACAATTTTAAATAAAATGTACCTCCTTGATTTGCATGGTAGCAATGCATATTTTACATTTTTCTGTTGATGTCTCTTATAATAAGAAACCTGATATACTCACCCGTATGCATTTTTTACCACAATGTTTATATACAGTAATGTGCAAAGGTCAGAGACCACCCTTTCCATTAGTTAATTTACAGTCAAAACGACCATATATACCATAAATTACACAGAAGCCTCCAACACTACATATAATATCAAATCTATCAGTATTTAATTTGTCCACTCTTTGCTTTTGTACACTACTGTCACTCTTCCCACTCGCCCATCCTTATTGAATGTGTCTGAGATTGCTTGGATAGTCAGAACCAACTTCTAAGACTGAACTGTGGAGGTGTGAAAAAAGTAATAATAAAATCAAAGAGTGGACACACTAAATACTGACAAATCTGATAATTGTTGAAGCTCCTGTGTAATTTTCTGTTAAATATGTTTTCTTTTTTCTTTTTTTAACTTGAATTTCTAACTTGAACTTAATGGCTGTTTTGAGTAGAAATTAAATAAATAGAAGGGTGGTCTCTGACTTTTGCAAGTAGTGTATACTATATACAAATTTATGTATATTACATATATATTTACTGAAATCATTTAACCCCTTAAATTCCAAGGCTTACGTCCTAAGTTTTGTTATTCGGTAATTGCACGACCTTCATTCATGGATTTATTCTTAAGGTATAGTGCGTACCTAGAATGGGAAAGTTCTTGGATGAACGGGGGAAAGCTGTTGCTGAAATTCCAAGTGGTTGCTAAGGTGTCGCTAGGCTATGCTGTGGTGTCCCAGGTGGTTGCTAATATGTGTCTATCTATATTCTGTTTATATATATATATATATATATATATATATATATTTACACACACACACAGACACACACACACACACACACACATCTGTATATAATGTATAAGGATATAAGGTATCCTTTCTGACATCATTTGTGTTATTTTGAATTTTCTCAAGATTTCACCATGCATTTCTTTTTGTGGGGAAAAAAGTTTCATGGTTTCATGACCCGTGAAAACGGTACAGTAAGTTGGCCTCTTCAAGTCAACTAAATAATCGATAACCACTGATTGGCTTCTATGATTAGTCATAGGGTTTCGTTGGTTAATCTGATTTCTGTTTTTGTATTATTGTTTCGCTATCCTGTGTCGATCAGAGGAGGTTGGGTTCCCCTTTTGAGTCTTGGTTCCTCTTGAAGTCTTAGGGACTTTTTCCTACCACTGTCGAACTTGATGTTCACTTGAGGCTTGAACTTAGATGTCTAAAAAGCTGATTTCTTATAAAAAGAGCTATACAAATTTATTTGAATCAGTTTGAATTTAAAGACATTTAGACTCACCATTTATAAAAAAGAGGATAGAGGGTTCCTAGTTTATATTTTTTATCCAATAAAATATTTTAAATTCTTTGAAAGGCAATGCATAATTCGTTATTGTTTAGTTAAGTCTGTTTTTATTGTTTAACCTTTTGTACAATCTGTGATTAATTGATTAATTGTAAAAATAATTAGTAGATCATGTAGTCAGAAGTGATAGCCCTGGTATGCTCCTATGAGAAGAATGTTGGTACTCATATTTGTTACTTTTTCCCCCCAGTGGTTCTAATAGCTTTTTTATCTCTTTTCACACGCAATTTTGCAAAATGGTTTCAGCCAAAGCGACGTTGAGTTGTGCCAGCTTTGCCAGCCGCGTGCAAATTGAAAACAAATGGACCGGCATATGTGCTGTGCAGACATGTTTGAAATGCTTGAACGAAATGCACTACCTGGTCTTCGGTGTGTATGAAAATAGCATTAAAGGAAGTTTGAGAATAAAATAAGCATCTGTTTTTATAAACGCTAATGTGTAGAAGCTGCCAATCCAGCAGGATCTGTGATTTTTTTTTTTTGCACATCATCAGATGGTCAGACTAACAGAATCTAATTTGTTTAGCACATTACAATAAACCTGGCTTACATTGTCATGCGCTAAGTGGGTATGGAGTGACACTGTTGAATAAGCTGATAGTATTAGAAGTAGTAGTAGCATGTTTGCTCAATTTTTTCATGACCAAAATGTGTTGTTTCAACAGGCTGGTGTGGAACCGATTCCCCAGTTACAGCACTAGCCACTCTAAACTGTAAGCTCACAATTGAGCAATTCTCACTGTCTGGATAGCCTCAGCACAATGACACAAACCCAATTAACTTTGTGTAAACCCAATTTCACACTTGTGCTTCTAGTCACGTTGTCATGTTTGACAACAGGCCCACCAGGGACGGCCGGCTGGACATTTCGCCTGAGCCTCTCTAGGTGTCTAGCACAAATGCATCTCTAATCATTTAAAAGTTTTGTTTTTCTGACAGCACGGCTTTGCTTCTATTGGTAGGCATCAGTTAGAGTGGAGTTAATGAGGGGAACAAAGTCTAAACTGTGTGGAATTTGCAAAACCAATAATATCTGTTCACAAATGTTCCACACTAGCATGAACAATATGGTGAGGGTTAGCATTGTTCTCTTGGGATTGGCAGCTGATAGAGCAGAAAGCTCAAAGATATGAGATTAGACCAAGCAATTAACACCAGTGTGCACATGTAACTGAAATGCTGCCTCTACTGAAAGATGTAGGAGTAAAACTGAACTAGCCTGCGGGCCATCCTGGTTAGTCACTCCACAACCAGCCTGGCTTCACAGATGTTCAAACCATCTGGTCATTTCCATATTCCCTCAGATTTCTGCACAGGCTTGATGATTGGCTGCTGTTCTTTGCCTTACTAATATTAGACTAGAAATGTACTGTATGTGTGGAAATGTGCTTTAATGTTGTTTAAATATATTTTTGTTTGCTCTCTCAGTAGAATCTCTTGATTAGACTCAGTGATGACAAGATTACTTGATTAAGTGATGTATGCATTTTTTATGTTTTAAAACTTGGATGGAGTGAAGCAACAACAACAAAAACCCAGAGAAGAGCTTCTGAAAAACACTGTTGCCTAAAGCATATTTTATCTTCTTACTTAAAGCCTCAGAGAAAGTAATCCATGGTTGCTTTCTTATTACGTTCAAGTTGCTCTTGTCATAACACAGTATGCAGGTACATAGCAGGCCCTATGAATTACTGGTGAATATCTATGTGTACTTGTTAGTTGTACATATTCTACATTATATGTACCATAACTTTTGCACAAGCTAAACGTTCAGCATTCAGCAAATAAACAGTAATTGTGCATTAAAATGTGTGGAAGTGTGTTCTCTGTAGAGGATGTGAACACTTGTTTAAAGAAAAAGCTTCAGAAAAACTTATTTTCACTTAGAAAAAGTTTTTTTTTTTATTTTTAATTGTAATATGTGTGTTTGTCTAAGCAAAAAACTAATGATGGTGATTAGAACCAGTCAGTCAGGGTGTGGCCTCAAAAGGAGTGATTCAGTAATTAGGACCAGTCACAGTCAGAGGGAGTGGTCTCAGAAGGAATAATGCATTAATTAGGACCAATCACAGTCAAGGGGAGTGGTCTCCAAAGGAATGATGCAGTAATTAGCACCAGTCACAGTCAGGGGGAGTGGTCTCAGAATTAATGATGCTGTAATTAGGACCAATCACAGTCAGGGAGAGCACACCACACTGCACAAACTCAAATCACTGCACACATCGTTTTGGCCAAAAACACGAAGTTTTGCTTTGAAGCATTGTTTTCGTTTGAAGTATACTGTCGGCTTAAGACTTTTCACAGTACTGTATATAACATTAGAATTTTAGAACCACTCTTAGTTAGTTAGCACCCAATTTAACTAGATTTTGAATAGTCTTTATAGCCATGTTCGTAGCTGTATGTTGTATTTGTCCTTTAATGTTTTATATAAAACTCAATTTTTTGTATTTTTTTTGTGTGTTTTCTAGGACTGAATTGAGATGTTTCTGAAAAGCCTTTTTTAGATATTTGTTTTTGCATTAAACTGATGTTGGTGGATGATCAGCGTAGGAAAAGAATATTTTCCTCTTGGATACACAAGTTTGAAGAAATTGGGCCAAGGAAGGCCCCAAGGCTAGAGCAGAGCAGATTTACAAAAGAAAAGTGATTTAGAACCACAAACAAAGCGAAAAGCACTTCTTAAAAGCTCCCCATCTGTTTTTGATCACATGCTGTTAATTTTGTTTTTAGGTTTGCCAAATTGCTCAAAGACAGATTCACTTAATATTTAACGCAAACAAGAAGTCAGATCCATTTGCCTGCAAGTGTAAATGCATCAGGCATTATCAGACACTTACGATAATGGCACAAATGGAATTTTGACCAGGTAAATGTGTTTTCATCGGATAATTGCATTAGCATTGATTTGGATTTAACGCCCTCGCTAAAAGTAGGCATGCTGTTCATTTTCCACGGCTGTTATTGCCCTCTACCTTTTTGATTTTGAGTTAGCTGAGGAAGGTTTCCGACTGGGGTGAGCGGTAGGCTAATTGTACATTTAGCCATTGACTTCTCAATCATGAGATCAGCGCGAGTCCGCTTTGAAGACGATAGCCCAGCGTCTTTGCGGATCGGACGGCTAATTGCCGCTGGCAGCTGCAGAGGTATTTAACTTGCTCTTAACACCACGCAGAGGTTGTTGAATCGGTGGTGAGGAGACGGAGGGGGAGAACTCATCCCCCTGCAGATTATTGGCTGGCTGGGTCAGTGAAGCGCTTGCTGCTGAGTTGACACCGTGGTTGTTAACACCAAAATGAACTCTTCCAGAACGTCATTCATTTGTCACTGTCATTTTATGCTGGTGCAAAAAACTACCCCAGGTTCACCACCTGAAAACGCAGAGAAAGTCTAAAGGAAGTAAAGAAGCCCCCCCCGCTTCCTCCTGTGTTTGAGTGATGAGGCTGGCCTTCACTAGATATAGATTATAGATATAGATATGAATGTAGGTATACATATACGTATTGTTTACATCTATTACTTGCACAGAATACTACTGTTTACATCTGTTAATGCACTTTATGAACAGCTGCTCTACATACTGGCACTACGCACATGTAACTTGCATTTTCTTCAACTTTGCACACATAACTGTACTTTTGTTTTTAGTGCTATTCTTATATTTTCTATTTTCTATTTTTTTTCTCTATTTTTCTATTTTTTATTCTAAGATTATATTAAGATTATATTTGGTGAATGGAGGAACAGCAAAGTAAGAATTTCATTGTGCAGTGTAACTGCCTGTTTCTGCTGTGCATATGACAATAAAACTCTTGAATCTTGAATCTTGAAACGTATAGTTGCCTACATATAGTTATTGAGAGTGAGGAAGATTATTTGTGACCAGGCTGTTATTTCTTACAATGTGGTTGTTTTTGTTGTTCCATCAGGTACATCAGTGCATTATATGTAAGCTATTCAAATAAATGATGGTCAGGTTTCTGTTTCTGTTTATTTAGTCTTTCTTCTTTAATTTGTTTCTCATTCTTTCATTAAACTAGTACATGAAATGTTTAAAAGAAGCCATTTAACCAGTGAATTTATTTATTTATTTAATTTCTTTCTTTCTTTTTTCTTTCTTTCTTTCTTTCTTTCTTTGTTGTTTTTTTTTTCTTTATGCATTTCTATATTTCTATAATAATGTGTCATGACATGTAAGGTAGATGCCATTTAATCAGTATTTCTTTTTCTTTCTTTCTTTCTTACTGTTTCTTTCTTTCTGTCTGTCTTTCTTCACTAGTATATGTCAAAGCAGCAGAAACCTTTTGTAATTTCTCCATTACTTTATTTCTCATTCTTATATTATGTTGCTACCTACAATGCTTAATAGAAAAGTTTCTTTTTTTCTTATCTAATACAACAATATTTCTTTTTCAGTTATTTCTTTATATATTTTATGTTATGTTAGTGCATAAAACATTCAAAAGAAAGATGGTAGATCATCCATTTAATCAGTAAAATGCCTTTCTTTCTCCATTACTTTATTTATTTACTTTATTTTCTTTCTTTGTTCCCTGTGTGTTATGTCAGTGCAACAGAATTGCACTCATCTCAAGAAAATCTCACGGTTAAGACAAACAGAACTTTGACAAGTCTTTTATTTTTTCTTTCCTGTACAGAGATCGATAAAGGAGGGTGTGGAGACCCGGGCATCCCAGCCTACGGCAAGCGAACGGGAGACAGTTTTTCACACGGCGACGTGCTGACCTTTGAGTGTCAGGCCGCCTTCGAGCTGGTCGGCGAGCGGACGATTTCGTGCCAGCAGAATAACCAGTGGTCTGGAAACAAACCCAGCTGCGTTTGTGAGTCCTCTTCCAAAAGCGAGCGGCCGGCTATAATTAACGCTTTGCCATTTAGGATGATTAATGCGCTGCCCTGGTAAGGGCTTGACGGATAGATGGTGCGAATCCGAATGCCAGTGGGTTGGCCGGGGAGACGGTCATTCCCGAGCAGACTGTTCTCAGGATCAATTATTACTCGTTCATTTAGTATGTCAGTGTTTTACAAATGCTCAGCCACCTAGCTTGTCTGAGATTGTCATTTATTGTAAGGTGTTTGTGATGGTTAAGGTGTTTTACTTAAGATATTGCTTTGTAGATTGGGCCAAGTGCCTGCTGAATTAATAATTTTGTTGTTGTTGATTTTTCTGGGCCAGCTCCGGCTGCCTGAGTCACAGTCTACTCGCACTCGCCAAACAGTCTGTGTGAAGATGTTAAAATCATGTTTGTAGCCCCCTCCTCCTTGATCACTGTATTAGACTTTGAAGCCAAAAGTTCTATTATCTAAAGCCCATAGAGCTATTTAGGGGCCCCGGCTCTTAATGCTTGTTTTTATTAGGATTCATGTTATTTTGTTGTCCTTGATTCCCAAAAATGAAAGCTTCAATGAATGAAAATGAATGTCCCTGAATCAAAGTGTGTAACGGATTGTTCTGCCTCTCTTCTTCCCCCTGCAGTTTCCTGCTTCTTCAATTTCACCGCCCCATCAGGCATCATCCTCTCCCCCAACTACCCGGAGGAGTACGGCAACAACATGAACTGCGTGTGGCTCATTATAGCCGAGCCGGGCAACCGGATCCATCTCATTTTCAGCGACTTTGAGGTAGAGCCCCAGTTTGACTATCTGATCGTGAAGGATGACGGCATGCCTGAGCCCACCACCTTCGGCACCTTCTCCGGCAAGGACGTGCCCTCTCAGATCGCCAGCAACGGCAACATCATGCGCCTGGAGTTCCAGTCAGATCACTCCAACACTGGGAAGGGCTTCAATATCACCTATACAAGTAAACAATGTTTTATTATTGCTGAGAGTATCTATAAAAATGTGTGGCTGAGAGTATCTATAAAAATGTGTGGCTGCTACTGGTGTTTTAGCTATACAACCTGCTTTTATCCAATTTAATAGTTAATTAAACATGTATCTTTCATTGTCCACACCAGGTTTATTTGAGATTACTTAAGAACTCAATGTGTTTTGAGCTAAGCGTATGATTTTAGAATTTTTTTTTGTTATGTAGTATATATAATAGTCCTTAGTGCCACATTGTTTCATTCAGCTACACTGATTAGATATAATTCACAATTGTATATCATTATCATGTTTTTATTCATCCAAGTTCTGTCACTACAATACCTAGAATGCATAACACAAATACATCAATCATTATCAATCCCTGTGATATCAACCAGTTCTGACTACTAGCATAGCCACTGCTTTTTAAATACAACCAAGCTAACATTAGTGTACCTTTTATCTCAGTCCGTAAACAACGTAGCTTTTTCTTTAAATTCCAGTAAGGTTTTTAAATATCTTCACATTCAAAAACTTCTCTAGATATCCAGGTAGCTACCATGCAAACTTTAGCATTAAGCTTGCTGTCCTCCTGGAAGGTCATTTCTCTCATTTGAGCAATCCATTCTCTCCATCGTAATGATGTTTTGCAGACAGTTACCACAGTTACACAGTTACAAAAAGATACTTGGCTTTCTGGCAGTAACATTGACTCTCTGACTTCATTCTGCATTTGCCAGCTAGGAAAAAAAATACTAGACCTGTCAATTGAAACAATCATAATTAATTGCATTAGTTTTGTAGTTAATCATGATTAATTGCATTTTCCTTACTTACTCAAATTTGAAACTAAATTTTTTCGTCCATTTTTGTACTGTAGCCATGTGAGTGGACAAAATAAGCTTTGTAATAAGAACATATTTATTACTTAATTCAACTTCAACATAAAATCTTGTAACAAGAAGAGTAAGTGACTGCAGTTTCCAGTTTTCATTAACGTCCAGTGAGAGCAAATGTGGCTGCATGTTCAAACCAATGAGTCAGTCAAATATATCTACAGTCAGAGGTTCCAGCTTCTCTGCGATTGTAGCGTCTCACTTTCATACTTCTGTGTTACATCTTGCTCTAAAGGAACTGGAGCTTTCCACTTTTGTTTGTTTACAAATTGTTGAATTGTTGTTCTGCCACAAGCGTTATCGAGCGTTACTTATACTACTAATATTGCTAGCATCAGCACTGTATTTTGCTTGCAAATTATCAGACTTGATGTACTTTGTTGATAAACAGATTCACAGCATGGCTGTAGATGGAAATGACTGGTTTTATTAAGAGAGCCACCAATAGAACTTCAGAATTTTACTTGAGAGGGCTAAAGCAATAGTGTGCTGCAGCTGAGATTCAGCCTGGAACTGGGGGTGGTTTAAAGGGTAAAACCAGAAAAGCATTAATGTTTCAAAAATTTGTGGCGTTAACAATTTGTTGCATTAATGTTTTAGTAAAAAGTTAACTTTAACACTACTACAAAAACAGAAACGTTTCAGACAGCCCCTCACCAAAAAAGTATTTTCTACAATTCCTCCCACCTTTAACATACTTCAGAAAGACGTTCTCATGGTCTTTAAACCAGAAAATCTCACTCTAGGGTCAAGTAGATCTCTGTTGTAGGATGCAAATAGGCACTTCAACAGCAGTAGTGATGGCTCAGTTTTTCATATTGACCAGAGTGCCCCTTTAGAATGCAGTTTGCATGATGCTATGGGTGAGAACAAGTTTTGACTGTTTATTTAGCAATATTAGATTTCTAGCTGAAGGCCCATCCTTTCTTAAGTCTTTCACATTGTAAATTCATTAATTTTAATAAATCTGGATTCAAATCCACACATTGTTCTGACAGTAATATTACTTCTTACTATAGACTGCAAAATTACATCTAATCCAAAACAAAGGTGCTAGCAAAACACCTTCATTTAGTAAGTGCATTCATTTCATATTGTCCAGTGGACCCTATTGTGCTAAATCGCTTTGCAGGGTTGTTCCTTTTTCATGCAGTCAGGCAGAAACGTTCTTCAAGGATATTGCTTTATTTCAATCATGCATATTTCAGAGCACTTCATTCTAACAGAGTCTGATTGATTGGCTCATTTGTAACATCGACTATTCAAAAAGGTGATTATTATGAAATCTTTTATTAAGTGTATTTCCTCTTTTACTGCACAAAGGACAGCCTTGACTGAATTCAGCTTTTCAAATCAGCGTGTAATTAACCCTCAATTAACCCTTAACACCTGTGTGCATTGCTTGTTCGCATATGCATGTAAAAAAACAATGAAACTTTGAGTCGGTTTCTTACTTTTTAATGATGCATAAGCCATATGATCCCAAAAGAAATGTACCAAAAGAGGCATTTGGGAGAATTTGTGAAACAAAACCTTGGCAAACTCCCTTTAGAATGTTTCAGTTTCAGATTTACTCAAAGAGAGGAGCTTTGTTGAGTAGTAGCTGCAAACATTTGGTTTCTGCAGGCTTTGGAGAGGAAATATAATATCGCGTCCAGACATGCCATGAGGGAGAGAATTGGCCACACCACCGTGCTGTAAATTGTCTCTACTGGTTCTGTTTTTACACCGTGGTGGTCCAAAGCACAAGCCAGTCCAGCTAAGTGGGCAGCTCCAAGATTTTTACTCCTTTTCCTCGTCACTTCTGCATGAAAATATTTTTTGTTACCAATTTTTATAGTAACAGAAATGTTTAGCCATTACTTTGTGGATATTGGCACATGGATAGTAACGTGATTAATTTACTCAGTTCAGTGCATTTGAGAATCAAATGATCACACTTTTATTTACACTTAAGGACAGTGATTTGCAAAGGTTTAGTCAAATTACACTGTTGATTTACTAAGGGAAAATAAGTTAACAAATCCTCTACATCCTCACACTTGTAATACACTTTCCATTTGGAAAATTTAATATATCATAAACAAAAATAAATTTGGCCTTTGAAAAAGCTAAAGGACATTTTATATTTTCTCTTTTTTTTTCCAATATGTTAAACTAAAATAAATTAATGAATAAAACTGTGCACTCAATTTAACATTTAAGTCAGTTTAAGGCTGTTTTTGGACCTGATACTTTCGTACTTGTACTCGAGTTTTTTTTTTTGTTTTTTTTAAGCTACTTTTACTTCTAATTGAGTTTATATTTCCTTTAAGTCCATATTTCCTTCTGTTAATGGGAGGCTAGATGGTTAACACAAACTATGAACTGGCTGCAGACTCTAAACTGTTCACCAGCAAAAGAGGGGTTTCTAATGAAGTGGCCATTGAGTGTATCGCGTTCGTCTTAGGAGCTAAATGCAGACAGACTGTGGTTAAAGAGGAAAGTGGTCAGTAGGGAGCACCAACCAAATGTTACTGAAATAGAGGAACAGCAATTTGGAGCTGCCAAACGGCATTGCTGTGTATGTTCGCTGTTGCACAGAACCAGTAAAGCCAACAGAATACAACACGGTAAAATCCCCAGTGGTGATTTAACATGTAATATGTTCAATTCCAGCAGGACACGAAGACTGTAAGAGTTAATTCAGCACTGGGATTTTTCCTGTGAGAGGTTTTTTATTGTCTGTCATTTTGCAGTATGTAGAGCTTGGTGGCTGGGTGTTTTTTTTTTTTTAATGCTATTTAGTTGTAGCCAATTCCACCCATATCTAGGAAGAATCCTGTGCTAGTCAGCAAAAAAAACATATATTTAACAGAAAATTACACAGAAGCCTCAACAACTAACTATAATATCCAAGAAGGTTATATTTTCAAGATTATTTTTCCACCATTTTTATCCCAGACATGTCTCAGTGTAAGTGAGCGCGTGTGCATGTGCAGGTGGTGGATTCAGCGGCTTGTATGTGTTTGTTTTTAATGTGAGATGGTGGCTGATGGGGGTGGTTTGTTGGGGGTGTGGGTGTCAGGTGATTGCGTGGTTTGATATCTCTGCAGTGGAAGCTGTAGTAATGGGGTGTGACCCTCTCAGACAGGAAGAGACATGTCCCAATACGGAGCTGGAGTGTCTGGCAGAAAGGCCCGTAATAACAACCACACTGTCAGCGGGGTCGTAACCTCGGCCCTAGTGCCCTCGTCCCCATGCATTAGCCATCCTGCTGCCACAAGGGTGGAACAAACAGATGTTTCTCACCAATTGAGGGCCACAAAAATAGCCTGGCAGGGATTTTGTGTGCTGGAGCTCCTGCGCCTATCGAATAATTGAAGGATCTCGTCTGACACTCGTGACACCCACGTGTCACTCAAAGAGCTGCCCACGTCAGGCATTAGAGGATAATTGGGAGTTCACACAAAAAAATCCAAGTCAGGTCTCATGTTCTTCAAGCTAGGAATGGAAAAATAATGTTGTCAGATATAAATATAGGAGCACAGTTAGGCAAAATCAAATTTACACAATTTTCTCCTTACCCCAAATGTATTCGATTTACCAAGACATGCTTGCTGCCCAAATGTTTGTTTGCTTGGACAAAAGTAGGTCACAAACCTGAACTTTGTGCACATTTGTCCATTTTATAAACAGGATACTATACAGTGTCAGAAATCACTTTAGCAAGTCTATTAGAGATGAACAGCTTGACGTGTTTTGGGGCAAATGTGTGATGATTTTGTTTAACATATTCGAAACCATGAAGCATAAAATATAACGTGCCACAACTTTTGCACAGGGCATATCTTACATTTTATATTCAGCAAATACATTTAAATTCAGCAAATAAACAGTAATTATGCTTTAAAATATGCAGAAGTGTGTTCACTGCAGAGGATATGTTTTCATTATTTTCATTTAGGATATCAGCAAAACATGTCATTTGACCGGCGGCGCCCAAACTTGTGCATGACCGCATGTATTGTGCAAAAGTCTCAGGCACCAAAGCAAATTGTTAAAATCTGCACAGTAATAGTTTTTTCAGTAGTAAAAACACCTTATATCATTAGAATTCATACAAATAAACAATAATGTAGTAAAAGTAACAAGAATATCTTTCAACAAAAACAACAAAATGTAATTTGACCAGAGGTGCACAAACTTTTGACTGTACATTGTCCAGTGCAAAACTAAACATGCATTAAACATGTCTATGTTGATTTGGGGTAATACATTAGATTTTTTTATTTTAATGATGCATTTTTATTGGATTCTTTTTTTCAGCCAAGCCAGCTGATGTGACCAGCACTGTGCTCTTTAGCATTCTGTCTTTCTGACTCCAACATTGATTTTTTTTACTCTCATCTTCATCCTGCAGCGTTTGGCCAAAACGAATGTCATGACCCCGGCATCCCCATCAACGGCCAGCGCTTCGGAGAGCACTTCTTACTGGGCAGCTCGGTCCTTTTCACATGTGATGAGGGCTTCATCAAAACCCACGGCTCTGAGTCCATCACCTGCGTCATCCAGGACGGCAACGTGGTGTGGAACGCGGCTGTCCCTCGCTGTGAAGGTAGGCAGCCTCGTTGTCTTGCGTAAAGTTCTTTAAGACAGAATAAATGACCTCTGCTGCTATGTGTGATATGGCTTTCATTTACTTCGAAGTATTTAACAAGGGATGCATTGTTTGCCTGTTAAAATAACACAGATTAAATAAAGCATCAAAAGTAAAAGAAGACTGGTTTGGAGCAAAAATCTGCTGAAACTGGTCTTAGCCAATTCCAGTATCGGAATTTATAGTGACTTATAGTGGTAGGCAAATGTAGTGTTGGAAGTAGGAGAAGAAACAGTTAACAGGGAATGAAAACAAAAACTGAAAGCATTTGATAAACATAATACATTTAATAAACATAATAAAAACTTTTTACTGTTTTTTTGGATAAGTGACATAGTGACAGATTTAGTGTAATTGCTATTGTAATAAGCCTAATATTGTTATGTATATATTTTTCTTAAATGGATTACTTACTAGGGAGGGGCACAGAATGACATGTTCGCATGAAACCAATATAGTTTATAGAATAAAATCAAAAAACTAAATGTAACTGGGACAAAATAATTATTAATCATGCAAAAGAGAGACCTGCTCAAGCTTGCTCTGGTGATTTATTCCAGAGGTATAATGGAGAGGCAGTAAGGTGCTCTCTGGTAATGAGGCTTCAAATAACAATACAGTTACATGGGTGATTTTTGATTTTTAAACACAATATATAAGTGGTGTGAAGTGAACTTTAAGTATTAATATTATTAACCCTTTAATGCTGAGACTAAAAGGCCTTCTCATTTTGTGTCACAAGCTACATCCTTGTTTTGACACTCCTTGTCCATTTTATCAGCTCCGCTTTCCATGTAGGAGCACTTTGTAGTTCTACAATCACAGGCTGTAGTCCATCTCTTTCTCTGCATACTTTGTCAGCCCCCTTTTACTCTGTTCTTCAATGACCAGGACCCCCATAGCAGGTATTATTTCGGTGGTGGATCATACTCAGCACTACAGTGACACTGTTGTGATGGTGGGGTGTTACTATGTGTTGTGCTGGTACGAGTGGATCAGTCTGTACAGTCTGTAATTGTAGAACTATAAAGTGCACTTATATGGTAAGTAAAGCTGATAAAATGGACAAAGAGTGTAGATGCAAGTAGGTGTACATAATGAAGTGGCCAGTTGGTGTTTGAATAGGAATATACTTCATGCTTCAGTCAAGCTGTGCGAGGTGGTACTGTTATCCACTTGCCATCCAGCCTCATGCCATGAAATGCTTTCCCCTCAGATGCAGGACTGTTTTGGGTTTAGAGGGGAGGTTTGTTGATAGTCTGATTTTTCTACTTCTCTTTCCCAGCTCCCTGTGGTGGGCATTTAACGGCTCCAGCAGGAGTGCTGCTGTCCCCTGGCTGGCCTGGCTACTACAAAGACTCCCTCAACTGTGAATGGGTGATTGAAGCCAGGAAGGATCATGCCATCAAGATCTCTTTTGACAGGTATCGATTTTGAGCAAGTTCAAATTCATAGCCATGACCCCAGCTGAAGTCCCTCTTTTTTTTTTTCTTTTCATCCCCCATATTTTATGTTCATTACCTCCTGTACCTAACCTCTAAACTTCTTAATTAAAATTTTATTAAACTAACTTGAGAGTGAAGAACGCTGATATTTGTACACATACACTACCATTCAAAAGTCTGAAATTCAGTAATTCAGTAAGAACTTCCATAAGAAATCTTATAAACTAGACATTTCTGTTGGTCCACTCAATGGGCAACTGCCATTTTCAAGTTATATTAAACAAAAAAAATATTTAATTCACACAGAAATGATGAACACATCAAGTAAATTCATTGCATTTAAATCCAGTTCAATTCAGATTCAGTAAAAGTCAAAGCGACCACTTTTCAAATATTAAGCATTATGAATGTTTATTTCATTCTAACTTCATTCTCGATGCTCTGAAGTTGTTATGGAATCATCTACAGCTCTGCTTATCATTCTGGACACATCTTTCAGCTTCCTACAACATTATTTGAAACCTATTAAGTCGCAGAGTTTGAGTGTCATATTAGAATTGTATTTGATGTAATTCAAACTAAATTGGCTTTACATTGTTGAAAATGATGATTCCAAATTGTTCTGGTCCCTGACAGTTTAAGGGGTTAATCATTCATAATCCTGTTGAAATACCCGGGCCGTAAGCATATGTTCTTGCTCTCTGCCGCTGTCCCCCTACACGCACAGGTTCCAGACCGAGGTTAATTACGACACGCTGGAGATCCGTGACGGGCCCTCCAACTCGTCGCCGCTGATCGGAGAGTACCACGGCACCCAGGCACCTCACTTCCTCATCAGCACCGGCAATTACATGTACCTCCTCTTCACCACCGACAACAGCCGCTCCAGCGAGGGCTTCCAAATCCGCTATGAGAGTGAGTCAACCTTCCCCGGGACTCTGCGCAAAAACATTTTGGCTCAGTCCAGAATGACTCCCTAATTGACGTGTAGAGCACTACATAGCGCGTAAAAGCCATTGGCTCATGCCCTACGTGAGTGCACTTTAACAGCGAGCAGGGAGCCCATTCGGATTCAGCCATTGCTTCATGTTCGGCAATAGCTCTGCAATGCTGGCGAGTCTGATTGGAAGCTGATTGGAGCCGGTTGTCTCCTTAGTTACAGAGTTTCAGGCCAGCCTCAGTCTACAGGCTCTGCTAAGACAAACGAGTAGCATTTCACAGCAGATTCAGTGATAACATCACGTCACCAATCATAATAATAACCAGAGGCAGTAGATAACTATAAGAGTGGTTACCAACCTTATTGAATTATTAAGCGTGCTGTAAGAGAGAGTTGAATATGGAAGGCTGTTAAAATAATAGCTGGGGGACGTTTTATAAATAGCGATTTACAATGCAATTAAACTTTAATATTATGTTGATATTATTCTATGAATTCTTTAGAATCCATGCTGTGAGCCGAAATAGTGAATATATTTAGTCCACAATGCTTATATTGTCATCTTAATTACTGTGAAACCAGGGGTGCAAATTTGTTCTGAGAAGTGTGTGTGTGAGGCGGAGGGGGGGCTGACACTGAAAGCCTGTAGCCTACATTCAATACTAGCACCAGATTTCACACATAATACTGGGTTAACAAAATACCATAATTACAGGATGTTTAATACTGTTTATGTCAATATTAAAATACATAAACAAACAATTTTAGTCATTTGTAAAAGTTTGGGCAGCCTGTTCAAAATACATGTTTTTTTCTAAGTTAAAATAAGTTAATACATCCTCAGTGCTTCCTGTTTCTGTTTATTCTGTATTTTTTCTGTTTTATACTGAATTTAAAAAATTGGGTAAAAAATAAACATAATATGTGGTCTTTCAATTTATGGCATATTTTAAACTCATAAACACGAATTAAACAAGCAAATAAACATAATTCATGTGTTACAGTTAAATGCCATATTTAAGTTTGTATTAAAGTATTATTTCAGTATTTAGGAATGTGTTAACTTCTGTTTTTTACTTCTAATTTGACCATGGGTGTTGACCAGGCTTTGGGTATCACTGTATCAACAGCGTGTACATGTGTGGAGGCGTTGTAGTGTTCATGGATAATACTCATGTAAAGTTAACAGATAAAAGGTAGTGAATTTAGTTTTTAGGCATACTGACAGAATTTTTTTCAGTTTTTTCTTGACACAACTGTACACCCACTATCCGCAGTACGTTTTCACAGTCGCAGTCGCCCTCTGTTTAAACTTGTAAAAGCAATGATATTATTGTTTTGGGAGATTTAATGGAAAATACTATCAATAAGATAAGCTTCAGTACTTTGTTTGACAACCATCCTGCTACCCCACAAAATTTATCTACCCATTCTGCTACCCCCTCAATTTTTCACCAATGTAGTTAACATAGTAATTAGACCTAGATGCGTAGAAATGCACTGCTTTATTTCTTTGAAAATATATGTGCACCATCACACTGATTATACTGTCATTCCTAAAAAATGCATAAGCCTTCTTGACCAGCGCCAGGTGATTAGGCAAATTGTTTCCAATTGCTTTCTTTTTTCAGGGCGGATTGAATGACACCGTTGTAATATAATGCACCGCATAAGGAGAGAGAGAGAGGGTTGAGAGACCCAGTCGCAAAGAGAACACGGAGGGGGTGGCTAGATTCACTTAACAGATATTCATGACTCACAATGAAGTGATTCTGACAGCACACCTTATGCAACCCTGCTATCTCCTCTGAAACTCATTGGAGTTGATGGATTATTATTCAGTTATTTCAAACCTCTCTCACAATCTAGTTAGAAGCCGCGAAAATAGAAATCGCCTTTAAGATCCTCCTAAAGATAGAAATGTCCGCCCAACCCTGGACTTATATAGCAGGAAATAAGCTGAGGGGCACAAAAAGGGAAATGTCAAGGGATTTAACTGCATTAAGAAAGCCACCACATTAACCGAACACTGCATTAAATAGTATTCTCTATTTAGAGAGACTGTCAGTTAAAGAGAGAAAGAGAGAGAGCTTCGGGGGTCTAACCTCTGCTGATTTATACTGTATGAAGTGCTTTTGACACCACTCTCTGTCCAATTTGGGCGCCAGAGGTGGAATGAAAGAGTCTTCTCCGTTCCCGCAGGCATCATGATGGAGAGCGACTCGTGCCTGGATCCGGGGATTCCCGTGAATGGGAAAAGGCATGGGAACAATTTTGCCATTGGCTCTAGAGTGACGTTCAGCTGTGATCAGGGCTACACTCTGAGCGATGACGAGCCTATTGTGTGCGAGAGGAACCATCAGTGGAACCATGCTCTGCCCAGCTGCGACGGTAGGCCTCTTCTCAAAAGTCTAGTCATATCAAGGAGAACTTTGTTGTCGCATCTGTATCCCATTCCAAAGTTTAGAGTGGTATTAATTTTATTCAATAATGGCTTATACAGTGAAGTAGCATGTAAACATTGTTAAATTTTCAAGACATGCCATTCACTGCCCCAGTCCTTACAGTCCATATATGGAAACAAAGTGGCTACAAGAATCCATTTTGCAGTCAGTGCTTTTGTGATGTTATTTACGTGTTTACCTATCAGCCTATAGTTAGCCCTGCCCATTCAGCCTACAGCAATCTGGCTCTGTCTATGCATATTGAAGTCATATGTAATGTTTCAGCTCTGAATGCTTTTTGAATGAGGGCAGCCAATCAGAACAAAGCTAATTTACATATATCAATCTTAAAGGCCCACTAACAAAAACAGCCTGTTTAATTCTGAGGGATAAAGAGAGGTTGGAACAAGGTCATGTAAAAATTTGTGGCACTGTTAAATGCGTTGTTAAATGTTGATCTGTGGCACGAGATCATAAACATTTTGTTTTTCGCTGTTTATTTTACAGCTGCAGACTTTCTTACACATGCATGTATGTCCTCATCTAGACCTCTACTTGTGCTGCTTCCTTTATGATTACCGATAAAGAAAGTTTATTCCTCTTCCTCATCCCTGTGTTCTGACCAGTAGTCCAGAGTGAACCACACCCATCATCAACACATTTGATTTATTAAGGGGGATTGATTTTTCAAAGCTTAGTGTCTTACATGTACATGGTGGCACTACACACATGCATGAACGCAAGGAGAGAAGCAAGAAGTTTAATGCCTAAGGGATACAGAACTCACACCTATTTAATATTTTGGGCCTCATTCACCAGCTGTTGTTAAGAAGAAATTTCTTCTTAAAACCCACTTAGGTAAAAACAGAATCTACACGCACTTGAGCGCAAAGTTGCAAACAATTTAAGAACGCATCATAAATCTAAGGTAAACCTTTTCTTAGAACCTTTCTCAAGAGCAAAATTAAGAAAAAAATTAGAAAAACATTGGTGAATGAGGCCCAATGCGGACGAGCATCATTAGTACCTACAGGAATAACTTTCCTAGAAAATCTATAGTTAGTCAGGTTCCCACTATGGTACAGTACCTGGCTTTGGTATACAGATAACTGTTACTGGCTCCCTGAAAGGAAATGCTATTTTCATGTACTGTAAATAGAATCACCTATAACCACTTTTAACAGACTTCTCGATGGGTATCTCACTGAGTGGAGCAAACTTGTTGGACACATGAATTGGAGAGAAGTATGGGGGAGCCATAAGATTAGTTTCGGCTCTCCATGTATGATGCTGAGGTACCACCCATTCACCCTGCTGTTGTGGGCATGCTGTCTCTCCCAGAGGCACCCAGAGCCTCTGACAGTGAGTCTGAGCCCTGCTTACTAGCCCTCCTCTTTTCTAATGTCTAAATGCACATCTCTGTTTGTATAATATTCTCTGTCAAGCTAACTAATTTTCAACTTATTATAAATAAAGTAAGCAGAGTCACTGATGACAGAGAAAGAGGAAGGTAAATTGGCTAAACATGTTGCATTTAGAGCACAGCAAAAGTCTGCCATCTGATACTTATCTTGCTTCATCGACTGATCTGATTATTTATCAAATGTGTCTTGAGGATGCGATGGGGAAAAAAGTTGCTGAATGCCTGTGGTTATAATTGATTTCAAATTAATGTGAAACTATGTGTACAATTTCTACTTTCCCACAAATCATTTGGAACTTGTGAAGCAAAGTACAAACAAACCTGTGAAGCTGTATCATTCTAGGATCACATTAGAATCATTTGTGCACATATATTAGTTTGGTATGCCTGCAAACAGTATTTCCAAATTTTTAAACAGGGATGTATGCAAGCTTGGAACGAAACAATAAAAAAACAGCTGCCTCAGGGCATTGCATTGAAATAAAAGACAATGCCAGTGCTTCCTGGACCACATGGCACATATGACCAGGACTACACACAGTACAATTAAGCAAAACAGTGAAGTGCAATACTAAATCGTAACAGGGCACAACTAGGCCCAAAGCCCAACAATAAATTAAATATAGTGAATACAATAAAAGCACAGGACAAAACAGTGTAAAAACAAAGAAAACAGTATTAAACAATGTGACTAGTGCTTAAGTACAGACCTGAGTAGATTAACTGTAGAAGTATATAAGCAGCTTAGCATAATGTAAGAAAACTTTGCATCTCTAAAATACCTTCTTTATAAGAAGAAAAACAGTGAAAAATGAAACGTTCACAGAATGGCATTTTCTAATCACGAGTGAAAAAGGAAAAATAAGTTTTCTTATGACACTGACGATGACATAGTACAATTCATAGGTAGTCCATTGCAGATAGCAGTATAATAATACATAACACCAGCAAAAACTGTTCCTGAGTGGTAAATGTGGACGCTTCAGAGAAAGAAGCTGTCGTGTGATAAAGTGGCTAGTGCAGTGGGGAGTAGCCCCATTTTCTCTATCTCCTCCATTCCCCATTCAAATGCACCAGTGTTGGGAGCCATCCAGCTCATGCCTTTTTTATCAGGGTGAGAAAGGGTAAGCAGTCTCGACGCTCCCCCGAGACGTCCATTTTTGATGAGCCGAGTGCTAACCTGAACGAACAGTTTCAAAGATAACTTTGTAGATGGAGAAGAAGGAGAAGGAGGCCATAGAGAGTCACTTGGCTAGATAGGGAGGAAGTAGCTACAGGAGAGTGCTCACTCAAGCTGTTTATCTTATTTGTTTCCTGGCTGTGGGAGGGATTGAAATAAGCGTGTGGAGTGTTTTCCAGTAAGTGCAATCAGGCCGCAGCCCATTTGGTTTCGGAATCTCCAATTTCCTCCTCCGACGGCTCCTTATCGGCCGCTTGCCTTTTTCCTCTAATAGACTCCGATTCAGCCTGATGTGCTCTCATCAGAGCCTGACCTTCATTATAGGCGGGACAGCTGTATCCACAACTGTTCTGGGAGATAGGAATGTATGTTTTGGAGACATATGTTGTGCGCTTGAGTTGACTGTCTATTCCGTCGGCTAATATTCGTAAATCTTCAGCCTCTGCTTGCGTACAGCATAGGTTTGAGTTAATGCTAATAGGCTCCCTCAGAAAGAGAAGGAATATTTTGCCGGGATTGGTTCTCACAGCTGCTCCTTGCAATTAGATACGTTTAGGCATAAGATGCTTTATGGCATTATGGAAACGATGAACTTGAATATGATCAGATATCTAATGACCAGATAATCGGTTCACCAAATTTCTCAGCAATGCCTGGGACTTGAGATTGGAAATATTTATGGGTCTCCAGAAGCTGGTATTACAGAGCCTGAATCAGCTGGCCTCCTGGGTTTGCCATGGTATTGCAGACAGCGCTTATGAATATGAATGTGAGAGGTAATAGCGTTAGGATTTGAACAGTCTTACATTCTCATATGAACATCAGCTTTAAGATCCTCTTTTCAAGACACAGTGTACTCCCAGTGGCAGGGGCATAGTTACAGGGTGCAGGGAGGACCAACCCCTCATCTTTCTTTAATACAGTGATAGAAACATAGTAGTTCAAAGAAAGCTCTAGTTCTACAAACTTCATAAAATGATGTTACTGATGTAATGATGCAAACAGTAGTACACACATGACCAAACTCCTCAGATGACAGATTTAAAGGAGTGGATTTCTCTTTCCTGGGGTAAGAACTTGGCTAAGTTTTACTAATTCCTATAGGCTACTTATCCTGCTGGTGAGTAAAAATAATTGATTGTGGTGAAGAAAACGAAGTGAAATACTACAAAAAAAAAAAACAAGAAAATCACTGTTCACTGCTTCTGCTGTGGAATTAATTGACCCTTTACCTATCAGCTGTTACAGTAGCAAATATTAGCCAGTTGAATGTGAGGCAAGCAATCATGTGTTGTGTTTAATGCTCAAAAATGTATTTTCCTTCTGACAGTGGCAATGGGTGGGTAATTTTCTAATGATTTGGCTGTAATGAATTTGGCTAATTGGTGGTCACCATCCTCACTGTAGCAATGTGTCTGGGGCTTAATGGTTGTCAGCAGGCCTGCAAAACCTGTATTCAGCCCTCTTTCAAATGAATTTCAGGATATGCGACTGACCCATAGTAGCGACTGTAGCAGGAGGTGTAGAAGATTTAAGACAGAGTTTAGTTGTTCATTTCATTGTTCTTTTTGATGTTTTGTGTTGATCTACCACAGCAGTGGGCAGTATAACTATATATTAGGATATCTGGGTCCACTTCTGTTCTCCTTGTACACTAAATCATTGGGATCTGTGTTAAACTCACATGGACTTATCTTTGCTATGCTGATGACACCCACTTCTTTTTTCCGTCCACCTCCCAAATCTCTTTCTGATATATTTTCATGGATAGAGACTCACCACATGAAACAGACAAGAGAACTCTACTCTACCTTCCTGTAGAGCACCACACCGGACCTTTCTGTAACTGTTGAGTCTGTCCATCATGCAGGTCTAAAAATTTTGGAGTGATCTTAGCTCACCAGCTTCATTTCTCAGATCATGTATCATCTATCACCAGATTCTGCAGGTTCCAGCTTCACAACATCAGATGAATGTGATCATCTTGATTGCAGAGTTTGTTACTACTTGTTCATACTCTAGCCATCTCTCAAATTCTTTGCTCTCCCAGACAACAAGTGAGTATACAAAGACTCTATTAATACAACAAAACAAAAAAGGAAAAAAAAACCAAAAAATCTAATAAAGAAATATAAGTTAAATACATAGGTTTTATGTAACATACTGTACAGCCTTTGTATGTTTGTAAGATGTAACAAATTCTATCAGACATCAGCTGTGCAGTTGTTCAGTGTATATTACATAGCAGTCTACTGTTAAATTGCACATTGTTGTGCATGAAAGGACAGAAACATCTTCATATCTGGGGGGTCGGTTTTGGTGTCTACCAGGTCTTGCACGATTG